AAATTAAAACATTAAGACCAAATTAGCAACCTAACCAAATCAGTATAAGAAATATTTATAATGTTTAATTTATTTGTATCGATCAATCGATTAAGGTTAATTAAATCAGCAGCTATGTTTATGATGAATGCAATAGCTTGTGCCGCATCTCCTACATTTTATATGAAGCGACTTAAGTATTAATCGTAAATGGTGAGAAGGTACATCCGCTATGTAGGTATACTATGTCGACCACGGACAATCCGATGTGCGTACGTGGAAAAATGTAAACTACGCGTTCACATTTTTCTATGCGAATGGCAAACTGACGACCTACCTGATAGAAAGTGGACATCATAGAATATATTAAACAAACTAAGAATATTCTTAGTTTGACGAAAATGGTACAGTTTGGTTGCACTATTAGTTTATTTGATATAAGAAGAAAGATGTATTTGTAACAATTGGCCCATCGTGATGATTATTTATTCTTTGCCATAGTGTTTGTTTTTCTTAGGAAATAATTTTAAAATACATACCTAACCAGGACATGTAAAGTTTAAGTAGCGAGATAATATTAAATAAGAATCTATTATTAGAATATCTGATAATACACAAAGAATCGTCCAGTCCACAATATATCCATACCTAATATCTACGAACCTCATACAAAATATTAGTTACGTCAGCAAAAAACCGCCTAAGAACTGGTTCTGGTCATGCCTTGAGAGACGTATATAATTGAAAAATAGGCAGTGTTTACGATAGGATAAAGTATTAATAGAACAGTTAAGTATATATTATAAAATTATATTACATGTAAGTATATCAAAATATGATAATAATAATATGTAGTATACATCATGTAAAGAGAGACCTTATAGTAACAATTAAAAACGATGATTATTTTACAAATAGCAAAGTAGGTAAATATCTACTTAATACTGCGCTGACTGCAAAAAATTACTTACTTATTAGTTACTTACATACATATGTATGTCAATTAATTAATTTACAGTGCATTAGTGTTTTAGATAACTTTACTGAATGTCCAATTATTTTAATTTTACAACTAATCACTTCTGTTTAGATTAAAACTGAATTTAAAATACAGAATTGTTTAAGTTTGAACGATGGGATGTGGTTACTACCACAGAAGCATAACATCTTAGTCAGAAAGTAGCAAGACGTAAGGAATACCAGTATTGTATTTTTATGTCAAACCTACAGTACAATGATTAGTTAATTAGAATTTAATTATTTTAGTACATATAGTAATTTCTTTAAGATCGAACAACGTCTGTATAATAAATAATAGGTCAGTACATTTATTTTTTGACTATTCTAATTTAATAATATAATTTTGTATTACATATTTTGCGTATTTATTTCAGAGCATATCAAATCTCAATTCACACAAGTTACAAATCTGGAAGCACTCGAAAAAGGTGAAGAGGAGAGTTAGTTTTTTCTAAAAGATTTTTCAATGCAAACATGTGTAACACATTAATTTGAAGTTGAACCGTCACACTCGGACAAGGAGTCCACTCCACTACACACTTGACAGGAAACCCGACATATGGCGCCTGGGAAGCCGTCTTTGTTGTTCTTTCCACGATAATTTTTAACGGATAAAATAAATTTAAATCGTACCTATTCCATCAAGATAGGAGTGAACTTAAACTCTTAACTAGAAGTATAACTTTAAAGACTTTTATTTCCCTTTCCAATAAAATGTCCGACATTTTATGACAGTAATAAAAAGACAAACGCACTCAAGTTTCTTCGCTTTTAAGAATGTCCCATTTACGTTTTAAACTAACAGCAATAATCTATATTATATCAGCAATATATAGAAATTGACTTAATGTTCAACTTCAAAGTACCTCCACCCTACTCGTACATATTGTAATTCTAATGACCTAGGCTAGAATTCTAGGGTTTTCTAGTTGAGAAAACCTGACAAATTCTCGGTGCCGCATTATACGTAGTGTACCTTAAATGAGCGACAAAATTATATAGATGCTTTTAATTCTCGTAGTAAACATCCCATAGCATATGCTATTTGAGTAGTAAGAATGTCTCGTCATTTTTCTGAGAACCGGTCTACAAACGAGACCCCATATAGCACGGATCGAGTACAATAGGTGTTTCAACTTTTCAAGGCGCCTGTTCCTCGCGCATACCTGGCCGTGCCTGCCGCTACAATGGATTCATTGTTTCTGGTGTTATTTTCAAATATTAGTCTGTTTAAAAGGGCGAAAAATTTATTACCTACAAAAATCTGTAAAGACGTGACTTGACAAAAGACTACATAAAATCATATATTAAAATCTTTGTTTACAATAATAAATCGCGTATTATTTAATTTCTATCATAGATTGGTGTGAGAAATCAGCGTGTATTTTGATATCGTTCCGCTAGTAGACCGGTGAGCGAACGTTTTCCGCTTGTTAACTTGTAGCCTGCGACCTTTGCGTTTTGCAATCGCCGAGCCGACAACCAATCATGCAGAAATGTAAACGTTTGCTGAAACTTAGCATCGACATGCGATTGGCGAAACCATGATTCATGAATTTTATTATTATAATACACTAGCTATACTTCATTAATGTAATGCCCGCGTATAGTAGGATTAAATGTATGCAATTGATTCAAACCTCTTTTACCTTCAAATCAAACTAAATAATCTATGTACATAAAAAGGAATGCCGATTGACTGATTGATCGCATTTATCAAAGCACAACTGATACTGCTGAATCTAAAATCTTGAATTTTTGTAGATAGGATAGGTTCTTCATATAGTGTAGAGAACAATAAGAAAGGAGTTTGAAAATTCAATTATTAACCTTTATAGGTCAATAAAGATCTTGATGTGAATAGAGTTTATCTGTTTACCCATCTTAATATTTTTTAAAATATGTTCTATTTGTATATATCATAAATGTTAATCCAAAATAGATGCTCGAATGCTGTATACGAAAAATCATTAAAATCTATTTAGTCATTCATGCGAAAAGCAATAACAATAACAAGAGACAATAAATAAAAGTAATACCCATATATGCTCCTGAATCATGTAAACGGGTTGACAGTTCAGTTTAAGATAGCACACTAATCTACGAGTACATAATGATATGAGAAATCTTCACTGATGTGATGCGGTATGTTATGGCATGTTTCACGCAACAAATATTTTGTAATTAGCACTGCACTGTGTTGGTGTGACGGAGTGCAGACAAGGCCAGCCGCTTCCTACGGTGCGACGAGAGACGGGTGGAAATGTAACGTAGGTCGTAGACGCAGGTGTGTGGTGTGTTGCACAGCAGGTGAACGTCTATTACTAGCTTTAACTAATAAAGTTACATAAGGCATCTGTTACACACGGCCAAAGCGAAATTTCACGGTCACACGTAACCTCTAAATATGGACAATATGACTAAAATATTTTGAATATAAATATATAGGTCAAACGAGGTCAGGACGTTGTTAGTTATTTATTTTAAAATCAAAGTGCAAGCGGTTTCTAAAGAGTTTGCGTACGCGAATGCTCAGACTGTAGAATGAGTTCCTTAAATAAATCAACGCAACCATCACCAGAATTTCAAATTATCATTCATTCTTACAATTGCAATAAAGTAAATGGTGACTGTTTATGTCCATCTATTGATAAAACTACTTCTATTAAATATCTTGGTATACACATGGACCAGCACTTATCTTGGCATTCTCATTTAGAAGCAGTCAGCACTAGAGTCCGAAAGCTAATTTGGATTTTTATTAAGCTGCGTTATGTGGCATCCAAATTTTTGATCAGATCAATATATATAGCCCTAGCGCAATCTATATTGATGTATTGTATTCCTGTATGGGGTGGAGCTACTAAAGTAAAATTTTTAGAAGTGGAAAGATCCCAAAGAGCTCTTCTAAAACTGGCCTACTCTAAACCACGTATTTATCCCACTGACAAACTTTATCAAGAGTGTGATTTATTGTCAGTAAGAAGGATTTATATACTATATGCAACTTTAAAAAGACACAAAAGTGTAGGACTAGACTTTTCTTATTTATTAAAACGTAGGAAAAACATAACTCTGATGGAAAATAACGTTAGGACAAGTTTTGCTATGCGACAATATAGTAAACAATCAACACATTTATACAAGTTATTAAATAATAAATTAAATATCTATAAACTAAACAAATTTGATTGTAAAGATGTAATTACTAAATGGTTAAAAACTTTAAATTACCACGAAACAGAAGAACTTTTCAAATATTAAAATATTGATGAGTTACTTTTTAAAAAAATCTTAACAATACAGATTAGCGTAAAACTACACAAATACTCATACAACATACACACCACACAACAGTTGGTACATGGCGCACGTACATGCACACATACACTCACACGCACGCATACATAAACACACACACACACACACACACACACACACACACACACACACACACACACACACACACACACACACACACACACACACACACATGCATGCATGCGCACACACGCATGCATGCATTTAGATATACTTATTACTAATATTAGATAATGTTTATGTATTAATTTCATGGTACTATGATTTATGTATTTGCATGGTTATGGAGGAGCGTGACCTTCTGATACAGGTGATAACACTTACTAGAAGGTCACAACAACGATCTTAGTATTGTATCAATTTTGTTACGAAATAAATATTTTTCATTTTCATTTTCATTTTCATTAAGAAGGATTATTCTGAAAGCTACAGTATGGATTTCTTCAAGAAGTATTACGAATTTTTCGAGATGCTGCTGGCGCCTATAATCTGTGGAGTATAAAACCTGCCCCTGCAGATGTTTTGTTAACTGAAGCGAGAGATTCAAGAGTTAAAGAGTATGTAGAAGAAGACTTGATAGACTTAACGGTGCACATTAACTCCGAATGTCGGAGCTATGTTAAGCAATAGAGGTCTAATTCAGCTATGTGCCCAATATATTCCCTCGGTACGCTTTTGATAGTGTCACGAAAATAGAAATCTTCCTCACGTGTCATACACAAGTGGACCACTATATACATTTTAGTAAAAATCCTAGAACATCAACATACTTACTCTCCTAAGATGAATGTGTCCTCCTGGCTTTATAATAAGGTACCTATTTCACTATAATAGTCGCACAGTCATCCTGATTTGTCTTTGAAAAACAAAATATTCGAAAAAAGTATGTTGTCTACGTTATGAAATTCAAGCAGGTCGAACACAAATCTAGTTTGACCGCATCTCTATGGAATGGAACCGCTAGTGCTGTGCAGTCCCGTCCGTCAGAATGGTCCGATGTCGCGAAAGTAGTTCTTGTCCTCGCCACGAATGTGAATAACTAAATTATTAAGTAACTACAGCAAAAAATTATAATGACCACAATATAGTTAAGCCCAAATATACATGGTATACACCTTTCTACAAAATTACACCATAACCAAATATGAATAGAGTAGGTAGGTAGTACGTATTTGGGTATATAAACTGAAGGTTGCAAATAGTCGAGTTGTAGATTATTCAATTGTCAAATCAATCAATTAATAATGTTTCACTAGATAGGTTCTTTACAGACCTATAAGTAGCCTAGGAATAAGATAATTTAATTTATTTATTTTTATTTCAAAATTAAGAGTGTATCATATAATACTATTATATTGACATACCAATATCCAACAAACTCCTAATACTGCACTCTAATTACATTAGACGTGCATAATAAGTTTATAATTTGTAATTTATATAATGGAATAAACATAATACAGAGTCGAAATACTGAAAAACGGTCATGTAGGAACATAGATGAAGGTATCTATAAATTTAATAGATCTGGTAGGATAATTTAGCAAATTCTTTACCTCTGGTGGATATCTGTGTATAACGTAAACAACTCACGATAACCAATAAAAACACGCGGTAACCGCGCGAAAATTAACTGATTAACTTCTAATCTCACCTGTCCGGTTGCTTTCTTGTAACGGAGCGTCGCCTCACGCACGAGGTCCCTGACCAGCAGGTCGCCAGCGCCGCAGGGCACCAGCACCCTCACAGAACCAAAACACACCGTCACCTTCATTTTTAAACCACACTATGATTCACTGGAACACTGTGCCTCAGCGCTCACCATGCACAGCAGTCTCTCAGAGCTGGCATATTAGTTTGTCGACAAACTAATAGAAGCACGACACTATCTGATGCACATGGTACAGGTAGCACTGTGTCGAAGTCGCTCACAAACCACCGGGGAAACAAAAAGAACTAGACCACCGGAATCTCCGTGTGTTTTCATAGCGTAGACGTTACGACTTCAAACACCGCCGAATTCGACGGTGTTATCCTGTTATAAAATTCACACACCGAGTACACAATACGCTTTGCACATTGAACACATTACGATAAGATTACGCAAAATACGGGTAAAGAGCGCGCTCTTTGCGACAGCAACGGTCGTGGCAAGGAACATGAATAAGAATTTTAAATTGTTTGTAGCGGCGGCAGTGGGGTGGGGAGGCGCGGGGGCGCACCACGACCGGTTCCTGCCGCCGACCAATGAGCGGCGGCGTCACGACGGGCAGCTGTACGCCTGTGGTGGCGGCCCCGGCGCGCCGCGTCATACCTGCCTCGCTGCCGCTCGTGGTTTACTCACATGCCGCAAAGCTTTTTCATCCTTTCATAGTATATTGAATGAAACTACCTTTGATTACTAATATACCGACTCATTATTTACTAGAAATGATGGTAGATTCATGCTTGATAGAGAATAATTGACGTTTCATGTTATAAAATCAGGTTACGACATACCTATTTGTATGTGTTCGCTTGGTATTTTCTACCATGTAAATGGATACACGCATACCTTACACATTTAGTTCATTGTACCTACCTATCTACTATGAATTACAATTATTTGTGTAACATATAAGTTATATATCGAAACCTCAGGTTGATGCCATTCAGCTGCTTAAACGAATGGCTATGAACTAGATGCTTTCAGGTCTGGGTCAAGTAAATGCCTATATTCCCTTAAATTCTTATATGTTACCTTGTTGTTTGATCAATATTGCCATGCCAACCACTAGTGCAGATAAACTCACGTTTAACAAATTTTGATATCTGCTATATGCTGCATGATAATGGCATAGATAACAATGTGGTACGGCAGTGCAGCAAACGTTCATAATTTGAATTATAGTTTGACCTGAATCTGTTTTATAATAATTTTATACTAATTCGTTACTTTATTTTATTTTCGTTTTATTTATTTCTATTTTTTTTTATTAAGTTTTATTTTATATTATATATCTATTACATTTTAGTTATGTATTTATTAAGCTATACATAGACAGATATGGTGCATACATAGATTATGCATCAAATTTTATTTAAACCTGTTAATTTTGTGAGTATACAACAAACAAACATTTTAACGAATTTTCTCAATTATAACTACATAGGATTTCCACTACTAGACATTATTTTTAAAGTCGAGCAAACTCATGGATAACACAGAATATACTTTTATGTCTTTTTGTTAATAAATACATAATGTAAAAACATAATTTTATGATTGACAGCAAAGCTCATAACGCTCCTCGTGCATTCCAGAAGGCTAATATGTATATCTAAAAATGTTGAAGTTTCATTATTTTTAATAAATTAATACATTTTTTAATGTAACAAATATTTGAAAGTAATGAAATAAAAAATCAAATCGTAGAAATACATATATATGTGTAGGTATTTACATGTAATATCTCTGTATTATTATATAGTATTTACATGATAAATATCTGATTAATTAATTTTATAGATATAACGTTTAAATAATGAATAAAAACATCTAAAATCTTACTTTGTTTATATTTCCTTATTAAAATTGCTCTTTACTTAAAAAAAATGTTATTATATTTTTTTAATTTAACGCTATAATATACAAGTAACTAGTTAAATTACTATGTACTAGTCTTTACTCGCAACTTAGTATGTATTGAATGATCGAGATAAAGTTAACTTATATCCTACACCTATCCCAAATAATGTGTAAATCAAATTTCAAAACGATTAGTTGAGCTGATAAAGTGTCGATACAAAACTTACAATCATAATAATTAGTATTAGTTAAATCTCTTTAAACATAAATAAGAGATAAAACTTTAATTTATTTTATTACGTAATAAAGCCACGTGGTGTTAATTATTACATCCGTTGTGACTCCTCTGGTATTCTTTGTTTCAAGGTGAAGGGTATTAGTATGCGGAAGACGACCGCGACGCAGTAACCGACACTCCATACCTGACCTGCAGTCCTATTATGTGACCGTGGTCCCACGTGTAAATAAAACACTACTATATATATTCAAAATTTAAAAAGCCGAGTTTGTTACTTTTTATATGTTTACCTGTGATTTTACATCTCACTGTCAATATGAATGAGAACAAATTGTACTTACTACTTCTACAGGAAGTACAAGTATACTTCCTTTATATAAAATTGTTTTTGCATAATATATATTTCGATATAATTTATAATATTAAGGTTAAGTTTCAGGTATCTATGACCTTACGTTTTAATTAATTATATCACTCATTTATTATTTTTCATTATAACCCACCCATTTAATGCTAAACTTTTATAATAAATGATATAATTTAGTATATGGATAAAAGAAATAAAATAACAAATACAGGTCATGTAAACCACTTTTAATTTGTAAGTAATATTGCTTAATTGAATTTAAATAAATAAAAATACACAATACACTTTACTACATAATGCGCAATCGAAATATCTAAAAAAGGGTTCAATATATAAACGTTCCATAATTAGTGTTCGACGTAGCCGTTGACTGATCATTATTAATTATATATATAAACATGAATGACAGACATATTCGTATTTTGTAACTGAGAAAGTGGAATCAATATCAAAGATACATTTCAAATGGTGTGCATCATTCTACGTACAATTACAACTCAACATTATGTAAGACACCAAACAGAATTACAATTTATGATATTTGTTATAGTTCCCTATTGTTATTTAAGTATCTGACAAATAGTTATTGTTGAACTACTCGTCTACAAAGTTTACAGTTACACTAAAATTAACGGAACTATTTTTTCAAATTTTGTATTATTTCCACAGTAGTCTCTAATTATATCCAGCCACTAGAACCGGTGATATTTCAAAATCTAGTGTACTTTAGTTGAATTAATGAATAATATTGATTACAACAAGCAAATACATAAATTATTTTGGCACTATGTGTAAGTACATTTAATAAGAAAAATATTGAGTCGAAATACATGGATTAAAATTAGCAAATAAGAGGATTCCTTCGAAAAATAATTATATATCTCTTTACTGCGTGATATACCTACGTATTCCAAATAGTATAGCACTTGACAGGATGATTAACAATATTTACAAAGATTAACAATTTCCTAGATATCGATTGAGTGTGCATTCGCCACTAGTATATACAAGTCTATAAAATATTGAAAAACACAATGATAATATCCTATACTCATGTCAATAGTATATTTTTTATTGGTCGACTTGAAGCGTGGAAATTCTATGTGAGGAAAAAATATATAGTAAGAACAGAGTTACGATGAAATGTTACAAATGTGCCAGAAGAGAATTTTCAAGTAATCGTAAGCATAACACTGCTATGGTAAACTTTTGAATAAAAATAAAAAAAAAATCATTAAGAATATAAGTACATAATTAAACGGAATATTCCATGACCAACTAACTAGGCATGGGTAATATTGGTACCGCTCCAATATCTATATATTGGGTTCTTTTAGACACTGATGGCAAAAAAAAGGTAAATATCCATTCCAATATAGCCCGTATCAGTCAGATATTTATAATAATTTCGATCAAGTTTTTCATTTCGACATTAAATATTGAATAACAGACATTTAACATATTCGTTACTGGGCCAATATATAGATATTGCTGTATACCACCCAGCCCTACAACTAACATAATTTTCGTGTTCGCTTGCCTCACTCCATATACACAAATTTGTTTGTTTTGAATTATGATTTATTTGACCAAAGGTTACATGTGCCTCATAGCAAAAATTTTTAAATTCCAATAGATTACATCTTACTCTAAAATAACTATAATTATATGAATTGACACAAACCTATATAGAAGAAGTACATTGATGAAAGTAATATGTTTCTATATCAGAATATTTTACAACAAATATTCGCTATTGGCGCCGGTTGTACTTTTAAGTCTCACGGTAAATTTTCTACTTACTACTATTAATATTTATTTTTGACCGACTTTAAAAAAGTCAAAAAGAAGATTCCATTAAAGCAATAGTAAGAATTTTAATTGAAAAGGAATGTCCAAATGTTTCCTCTAGTAGGTAGTTGATAGAGTAGTTTAATGCATCACTCCATGTGGTTTCAACGCCATTCGGCCTCAATAAAACGTGATGGAAATTAAACTGTGTATAGTGTAATATTTTTACAAATTAGACTTCCATTTTTATAATATTAGTATGGTATCAACACAGCCTTTCCATTAAAAGTGGATTATCGAAATAACTTCACAATTGACGAAGATATATCATCTGTTATAGAAACAAAAAAATACATTGGAAACATTTTCTTTTTGTAGTCGGTTATAAATAAAAAAAAAAACTTAATATGTATTTAAAAAGTAATGTAAAAAAGTAAGTACATATTGTTACTAATTAAAAAAAATGTGTTTTAGGCGAATCCGGGAATAATCTTATTAATATTCATACTCGAAATAATTTCAATTTGAAGCTGAATAATAATAAACGACAAGGAAAACAAGAAATAATATCTTGCAAATGGCACAATAATTACTCATACAGGATAAATCATGTCTATAAAGGAGTGATACTTGACAAATGACTAGATTTACATATTATGTAGTTAGGAAACAATAGCAGTACACTCACTAAGCGGACTAAAGTAAGATTACATTTAGGAAATCTAGGATGCAAATCAAATTAAGTGACAGTTTAACTTTTGAGGGTTAACGGAGAGTGTGTAGAATGAATTCATTGAATTATACATTATAAACATGTTAGACATCCGCCTATAATACTAAACAAGATTACGTGATTGATAATGAAGATATTTAGATATTACAAACTTCCAGTCTACGGTAACAATGTGTATTATAAAGATAAATCGAAATGCAAAATTATACTTATTTAATAATAATTAGAGTACAATGTTTATAATTCCTTTGCCTTAATATACGAACATTAAATAATATGAACAAGAGACCATGAGACAAATTCACGGAGCGGGACCAGCCCTTATTACTTAACCTCGACTTCTACAGATTGGTCGCTCGAATACAAGTCCCTATACCATTATCACAAGACAAACATTAAATAATTCTAATTCAGAGCACCTTATAATTGTAGAGATCATCTCATACTCCTAGATGATGCATGAGCCATCACATGGCACCTTCGGCTGTACATGAATATCATACAGAATTAATATATATATATTTGCTTAGGTACATATTGACACAATTTACAAATACAAATCATTTAAACCAAATAGGCACGTCAGCAATATCGACATAACGATCGCGATTACATCGACACAGTCAAAGATGATTTTTCTTTATTTAAATACTATGCCAATAAAAATTATAACAAACCAGTCACAAAAACAGAATTGAGTATTCCCTACACTCTTCTCAATTAGAGAGCTAATAATAGTTTTCATTACCACAACTCCCCAGACTTAGAATTTAAAACAACGAGATAAATTGAAATTAGCAACTTTTGTCATGATTACTCACTCATATTCGAGATTTCTTAGTTATCACAATATATGAAAATTGTTCGAAACGTAGCGAAGGGTACAGAGAGTATATGCAGGCGTTCGCTCCGACGGTTCAATCATAACCGTTCGATTCACAAGTACCGTATCACACGACATTATCACTACACATCACTCTCGCCGTCGGTGACGTGGGCGGGTTGGCCGAAGTTCCTCGTAATGGATTCTGTAACGGTACGGATGTTCGCTAAGTACCTGTGCGCTGGTTCGTCCGAGTCGTAGATGGCGCTGAGTGACTCGAGGGAAACTAGTGCCTCGGAGTCGAGCAGACGGGAGGAAGCGCGCGAAGACACGTCGTCGTCGCGGTCGAAGTAGCACGAGTTGACGTCGCTGAGGGCCGCCTCGGCGTCTGTAAGACCCGCTTCGTTCAACATCGAGACGTTCTCGAGCGCCGGGTCGTCGGTCGTGTAGCCGGTACTCTCTGGCTGCCCACCTTCCCCGTCGCCTTCACCCTCAGAACACGACGAACTCCATTCGGATTGACTCTCACCGTAGAGGCCCATTTCTCTATGATTCGAAGTGGTCACCTGCGTCGGAATGTCGTTAGTATTTTATATTAGTTCGTCTGTTAATTAAAAGGCCGAAAGTAGATTGTTGTTTCATCTAATTATGTAAATTTTTGCATGATTATTGTATTTATTGATACGATTTAATCAAAAGTAAAACAAGTAAAAAAAAAACTTAAAAAATGCCGTAAATTTTTTGATAGTTGTAACCATTATATATTTACACGATATACATATTGCCTATAGTATGAATATCATAGATAAATCTAATGAAAATTGTAATTGACTGAAGTTTACCTAGAGTTAGATGTAAACTTACCCGGTTATGTAGTCTCTCCTGAATTTCTTTCTCTTGCTTCTCTTTAGAAGTCGCCGCTTCTGCCTCACGTATACAGGATGGACTACGAAGAATTGGGGATTTAAATATTATTATACGCTTTGATATCATTATTGTTATAAATACTATAAAGGAAAAAGTTTAAAAAAGGAAAACAGGTACAGAGGGAAACCTAGATTAATATATCATTATTAAATAGACAACATTGCTTATTATCTGAGGGAGAATTCTTCGAAACCATTGTAAGTAGGCGTACAATAGGCCACCCCTTACTTTCCTGTGGATGTCGCAAGAAGCGACTAAGTGAAGGCGAGGAATGGACAGCAGCGTCCCTCTTGGAACACCTCTAGGGCCTGACTGCGGTTGCCAACCCGCCTGCCAAGCGTTGCAACTACTGGAAAAACCTCCCAAGGTGAAGGCTTATGTTCAGCAATGGACAGTAAAGGCTGATATGATGATAATGATTGTAAGTATACATATGTGTTTAAATATAGAAAGTAAGATTTGTTTCTACTTAAGCCAAAAGAACCCATGCGTGAAGTATTGCTAAATCAATCATTTAGACAGCAAATATTAATAACCGTTCTTTGATCTTTCCGTCCTTGTTTCCAAATGGCATGCCTGACATAGAGTAACTTCATATTTCACGTGGAGAAGCTCGCTACAAATCTGATATCCGAATTATTATTCTAATATTAAAAATCAAATTAAAATTTATTAAATAGGCACTTACCTAGAGTTACGTTCCCTATTGTGCGTAGGCGAGGGTAGTTCCACGACGACATCGGTGGGCAGCACGCCGGGGAAGTCTGCGGAGGCGATCGGCCTCAGTGGTGAGGCGACGTGAGGAGCCGCACCGGGCGGACCGGCAGGCCGCGCGGGACTGGCGCCGTCCTGCCGCGCCAGCTGCGTGATGGCCGCCAGCCCCACCGCGTGCAGTGGACTGCTATTGTTGTTACAGTTGCGCACCGGCTCTAATGACGAATGCTGACTTCTAAAACAAACCAGTAAATTAACACCCTAATTTATTTCATATACCCATAAACACATCCATATTGGAATGTGCGCATAGACTTCAGCGCTGAGTATAGGTATATATATGTAGATTAAACACAGAGAAAAAGCTAACAGCTTTGCAGACACCAAGATGAACTACTGAACATTTAACTATTCTTTAGTATACTGATAATGGCAAACTACAGGAATTTACAACTAGGACATCACATTTACAAATAAGTTTTACCTGAGGCCGTTTGAAAGAACAAGAAAAATAATTTTAGTAATTCATAATGAAGCATGCCTTTATTATAGCTCTTGAGCTATCGCACTTCGATTATAGCCGGTACCTTCATTTTTGTGCAGCTCACCTTTAGACAGTAATTTTATTTACGTGAACTTATCCTTCCATATCTTATTTTTAGGATTTAAATTTGAAATTGAAAGACTCGTACTGATAACGAAAACAAGAAGTCTAAAGAAAATCGTACGTACCTCAGATCCAGCTTTAATTCTTTTCTTTCTATTTTCTGCGTGTTGTTTTTAATATGATTCTTATCATCGAGTAGCCTTTGAATTTCTCTCTCAAATGGTGGCACGCAAACTACGTCTGTCGGACTTCGTTTTGTGAACACCTCCCTACTATCCTGGTTCAAGTGCTTCAGGTTGTTCGGTCTACTCCCCGTACTAGAGAACGAATTAGTTCGACGACTCGACACGTCTTTCTTGTCCGTTTGACAGCACCCGTCGCGTTTCGCAGACGCCTGAAGCATGTTTATTATGCTCCTCTGTAATTTTTCCTCTTCCTTGTGAAAGTTAATGCTGCCATCGAGGAATTTATCATCGAGAGACGGCTTTTTACTTATTTTATGTTTAGCATACAATTCATTGATGTGGTTCGGCATGGGTTTAGCCGTTCTAACAGGTGGGTAGTCGTATGCAGGACTAGGATTTGTTCTTTGAGGTCTCGATGGCGGCAGCCACTGCGTCGGTCGCGGAGGCGAAGGAGACGCATCTGTGGTCCTCGAATAACTTTCATCGGAGGAACTGAGGCTTGGAGATCTAGTTAGAGAGCTGAGTTCGTCGGCAGACGAATGTACGCGCGGACTGCGAGCAAGTGGTAAGCTTTCACTAGATCGCGGTCTAGGCAATCGAGGTGGTGGCCTTCGTTTATGAGCAGCAGGAGGTCGAGGTTCCTGCGGTCGAGGCCAGGGTGGAACTAAGGCACGGGGCGGTGGCCATCTAGGATGCCCCGATATTCCGTGAGGCGGTGGTGGAGGTGGCGTTTCCTCGGGTTCTTTATTTCTTCTACCTTTACTTCCCTTATGATTGTTTCCGTTATTTTGATGTCCGTTAGACGGTAATAAGGGTTCATTTTCCGCGGCGACTGATGTTTCTCTCAAGGGAGGTAACCTAGACGGCTGGGCAGCAGCTCGCCTGGCCGAATTTTGCAGCATGGCTAAAGGTGTTGCCACTCCACCATATGCTGATGGAGGGTTAGGAGTTGCTCCATTCGAGCTTGGATTAGTTCCAGTGCTATTCGCTGGAGCTCTGTCCGTCAAAAAATATGTGGTCATCTCGCCTTTTCCCTTTACTTTCACTTTCCCTCTGCATACAAACTGATACGGCATATCTTTGAGTAAATGATAAACCTCTTCGGTTACTTGTGTATGATTCGGAAGACCAGTGGAATCCATACGAGAGGCAACGTTGACGGTGTTACCCCAAATATCATATTGTGGTTTTCTGGCGCCGATTACCCCAGCTACAACAGGTCCTACATTTATTCCTGAAATATAATTAAAAACTTGTAGCTTTGTAAAATTCGGACATTTAATATTTTTTAATACTGATTAAAAACTTACCAACTCGCAACATGAAGTTATTGTAAGAATTATCGTTGATATCTTTTAGTTTATCCCTCATAGCGAAAACAAATTCGACCAAGGTAGCCATGTGCTTACGAGAATTGGCTTCATCTGACATTTTCTTGTCTGGTATCAGGCCAACAGCCGCCATGTATGTTGAACCCACTGTTTTAATTTTATCTATTGCACTGAAACGGTCTTCACCCAACAGCTGAGAAAGAATAATATTTATAATATTTATTTTATATATATATATATATATACTAGAAACTTGAAGTAGTATTTAATAAGAACCTTATCGATTGCAAAAGGAATGATAAAAATCGATCAAATAAAATGTCGAGATATCGCATAATGTACACACAGGTAATTAAAGGACCTTCTTTTGAAAGTTGCTTTAAAAAAGGACGAAATTAGACAATTAAAACTAAATCAAACAATTTAACTAACCTCATCAAAATCAGCAATAATCTCGTTGAGAAGTCTAAGGCATTCCATGCCCTGATTGTTTCCGTCGAGCTCCATATAGAACTCGTGATAGTTGGTGATAGACGCGAACACAACGCCCACGCGCTGGTAGGACTGGTGATAAAGATCCTACCGAACGGGTTAGAGAAATAAAAACATGTACAAACAAGCTTAGCAAGGATTTCATATTAAATAGTTTTTTACATGCAAATTTAATCAACACGTAACAAAATAATAAAAACATGCTATTCACTTAATATTTTATAATGACATTTACCCATAATTAATATTTAGAGTTTAAGAATTGCTTTTAGGCAATCATTTATTCATAGCAACATTGCCGAGATAAATCCCGGTTCCTTCATCTTATTATAAACAGTCAAAAGCAGTCTGTTTATATACCAAATGTCAAATATTTTAATCCTTTGAGCCGGATTATCTTACTATCAGATCTATATAGGATGATCATATGATAAGAGAACAAGGTACAATTTAGAAATAGTGATTTTATTAATTGTACAGTTTTACAAGCCCTTTTGACAGGGAGGGAAGGGATTGTCAGTAATGGTATCTGACAGCCCCCATTGCTAGCAATATACCCTATCAGGGCGACCTCCACTTATTCCCCCTGGAAAGCATTGTGATTAATTATTATGGCAATCATCACAATGGCCTAACTGACCTGCTTTCATCCTCACCTATCATCTTTCACTGGAGTCCTGCCAGCTTATACCAACAGCGCAGGAAGGGTTACTATTCCATTCTTAACCATTGAAAACCCCTATTGACATAGGTACCGCTATTTTGAAATAATTCAAACTGTACTGAGTGGAATACATCACTTACCATGTTGGTCCTGAATTGATTGTCGAGAAAATGCGTCGCAACATGTGCTGGGAGCAGATTGAATAATATCCGCCTATTGGATGCCTGAAATGATATAATTTTACATTATATTATTATTATACAAATTATTATTATACATATAATTAATTATTTAAATTATAAAGAGAAATTATTTAATTTTTGTTTATAATGAATGAAACCTGAAAATACTTAATCAGTTTTACAAAAAGTATTGTCCTCTATAGAAAGCTATCTGATTTAAGAGTACATGACACTGGCTGGCTGTTTCATTAAAAAAAAAAAACACTTTCCATTAGGTAAGCCATCAGCTTGTATGCAATTCTAAGAATTACAAAAAAAGTAAGCCGGTTTCAGTGTCGCACCTGCAGCGCGTCCATGTCCCGCTTCTCGTCACGCGCCTGCGCCTGCCAGAGGAAGTCGAGGCGCGCGGTCCACTCGGTCTGCCGCGCGTGTAGTAGCACGGCAAGTGCTAGCGCCAGTGTCCACGCGCAAGCTGTTGCCGCTGAACCCACCGGCCCAGGCCTGCAAACGATCATACTTCATACTTGCTGCGTCTGACTTTGTTTACGTGTCGAAATAAAGTTATATGTTATATAATATTTAAGTTATTACCCTACCTAAGGTTTACCTAAGTATAGTCCATTCGATAATATATGTACCTATATCTATCTATTTATCTGCATAAATCAATATATATAAAAGTATCTTACGTGTTGTTAGGATATACCTATCCGTACACCAAATTACATTTTCATCCATTCAATCGTTTAAGTGTACAAGAGTAAAAAGCATCCATCAATATCCTCACAAATTTAATGGAAGTTAACATATGGTAGATGAATTATAAACTAGTCTAAACTATAATAAAATTTTAATTTAGAGTCGATTAAAATCTTAATTTAGAATCTGTACACTGAGATTATTTTGTCAAAAATGACCTAGATAAACTAGAAATAGACAATTAAAAATAAATCCCAAATTTTTTAAATTGATATTTGTCCGTTTATTACGTGTAAGTAATCACAAGAAAATATATAACTTTGTTTCAACAAGATTTAATCAAGTGACTATTAGACCAACTTAAAAACTGATGTAGTGTGAAGGTTTTGCTTAAATTGTTTGCTGTTAATTTTTTAGAAATTTTTATGTAACTAAATCTATATAGTTTATCTCTAAACTTACTCAGTCATAAGATCGTAACAATCAAACAAGTCCTTATGGTACGCCATGATGACTGCCATGTAGCCGGCGGTCATGACCGCCAACAGTACCCCCTTGACGAGTATAGGCAGTCTGAGGAACACAGCGACTGCCAGCATGCTAAGGCAGCAACCGAGGGTGATATAAAGAGGTACGGGGCATGCTCGGTGGTCACTACTACTCCACAATGCAGCCGCTATGTCTCCACTTGCGTGACGAATCTCGTCCATGGTCGTCACATTCTCGGTTAGGTTGCGACAAACGTCGATTTCTCTACACGTCACCTGGAAAGAAAAATACATAATTTTATACGATACTATTGTTTGTTCTACAATATTGTTAAAAGGTATTGAAGAGGTAGTGTGTTAAACTGCTACACAATCAAGATCGTAATAACGCATGAATTTACTATGTTTTTTATGCCACTTAGAATGGCAAACCAGCTGACGTACCACCTTTATAAAGTGGTAACCGGCGCCTATAGACATGAACAGTACAATGTACATAACAGAGTTAGTCGCCCATGATATCCTTCATGCGTTGCTATTCCTGTAAACTAAAATATTATGCCTGTACACTGTAATTTCATTGCCATATACCATTTTCACCCTTTAAATCGAAACACACCCATGCAAATACAACTGCCTCACGGCAGAAACACGTATGAGCCAGGTACCCCAAGTAGATAAATTTTATATCAAGTCCTCCCTCTGATGAAAAAGTGCTTGACAAATGTATGATATTTATATAATCAATATTAATAAATATTTATAATCATTGTTATAACATGACGAGACAACAAAAAAATCTCAAGTTGGAAATACATATCTGGAAATACTGCCCCAAGAAAACATCTAATTTGGCACATAATTTTCTCTGTATTAGATCAATTGATTAGTCAAATATTTGCAATCCGGGCCGGCTCTGCCTACGCAGCTTGTTATTACTTAGTCATGCCATTAAGCATGTTTGTCTATTACAATGTTATCCTGACTCTTGGCTATATTTCTAGAGTGGATTAGTAATACAATATTGAGTTCGTGAGTCAATAAGCCTTGTGTTTATATGTCAGTCAGTTTCTCGTATGTATTAAAAAAACTGTAATCTTTTTTCCCCCTTTTATTTCATATCGTTTATAGACAGACAATGTTTATCTTATGTAACTGACATTTAACAATAGATGACGCAAATAATAGTATTCGCAGATAATAATAGTCGGAGACAAATCCAATTAATCACTGCGGAATATAAACTGTTAACACAGTTTTATCCGGAGATAACAATATATATTATTTACCGAAACTTTAACTTATAGTTAAAATAATTTGCGTGTAATCTCGTGTTTTATTTTGTTTTAGGAAATAACAATGACGAGACCGCACATTACGCAGATGTACACTAATAAATTTTCTAAAATTCTACAGAAACGGTCGATAAAAATTATTATAATATACATGCAAATGTAACTTACCACATTCACTTGGCCCACCGCATACCCGAGTACAATCGTGAAGGTGGTGATGGCATTCCTCAGCGCAAACGGGCGGGACACGTCGCACGGTATGAGCCTGAGCCTGGCGGCTAGAGTCAATGCTAGCACTGCAGCTGACCAAGCGAAAGCGGTAACGAAGAGTAACAGGAGTATCGTGGTGCGGGGTAGTATCGCCGCTTGTAGGGCACCCGCCGCAGCTAACGCCCCCAGCGCTGCGCCTAGAGAACCCGCCCAGCCGCCATCTGTTGACGCTCGGTACTGAAATATTAGAGTACTAACTATTATCCACGGCTTTAATCGCGTATCTTTTTTTGACGCTATGACATATTGTTTTACGCTTCAACATACTTGTTATTCTGGTGATTATTTACAGAATAATCACCAGAATAACATGTTTCTCTTCATAACAAACACTACATGTACTTAATTGCTAAATCTCATAATGATTTAAATTTGAATTATTCAAGAGAATTTAATTATTGATTTTTGGAATATTCCACTTGATCCATTTAGTACAAAAGTAAAAACATCATATTTTGTACAGTTAAATCAGTTTCGTTATTGGCGATTCTTTAGTTAATACCATGACTCATCCATTTTGGAAAATTCTTTTTTTATCTGAAAGGATATACTTACGGATTGGTCCCATAGAAATTTTATCAAAGTCGGTTCAGTGGTTTAAGTTTTTAAATCAAACTCATAACTGGTTTTGTCTCAATTGAAGCTGGTTTTCTTGTGGAATACAATCCCGTAACACATGCATGGACGAAACTATTAGTTCTCCTATTTTTATCTTATTGGATGTTTGTTTAGATTCAATCGAATCTTTGAGGGTATTGTAAAAATCCAGTTAATAATTTGAAAAAAGAAAAAGAATATATTATTATAATTTTCGTTAAAAAAGGTACCTGTGCCTCCTTCGCTCCATCTTTGAAGCACAGTGTCAAGAGATGTACGTGCGTGGCCTTCTCTCGGTGTACGGAGCGGGCGTCGATGGCTTGCGCCAAGTACTTGTTCACGCGGTTCGTCGGCTGATGGTACACAGACGAGTGACGCTTTTTCAGAGGCCGTTTGAATTTCTCCGTTACTTTATTCTGTGGATATCCAATAAAAAATGTTCAAACCTACTGACTATTTCTTTGTTGAACACATTTACAGCTAACAGCGTCAGTTATTCTGGGGGACACAGAAGGTTGTTACAGGGCAGGTCCAATTATAGACGAAGGTAAGGTTACGTAATAAAGGTCTTCGAAGGCAGGGGCTTTGGGTACACAGTGAGGTCCACCGCATGCCGATTCCATCATGCTTGAATCACATTTTTCGAACTGACCTTAGAAATAAAAAGATCCGGTCTCCGAAGCAGCATCACATTATTAGAATAGTAAAGTATGAATAGAGGCATAGAAAATTGATAGAAATATTTAAAGATCAACTTATTGATTTCAAGGCATCAATGTTTTTGGAAATTACAAGAAGTTAATTTTACTGGCAATTTGAAAGTCTTAAAACTACAATTTTCATGTTAGACCATTTAATCCCTTTTTATTGTTTTCTTAAATACACATATGTAATAAATAGAAAATATAAGGACTAATGGTCGAACATAAAGAAATTATCACCCTCGGATTACGAGTAATAAAAATCAAACGGCAGGTGACTTCATGCAAGTTAGTCCAGGCGAAGGTCTCATAGCATGCTCTAATTAGTGCTCGAGGTGGCTAGTTGGGGCAGCGAGTGAAACACAGTTCGGTGCATTCGACTTTATTCATAAACAAAATCAACAAAACAATCTCATAACACAGTTTCACAATTTCGAAAAAAAAAATAGTTCCAATAAGAAATGTGACAGTGAGTGGTTTTGAGTGCTCGCGCTTTTGCTTTTTTCGATCCTAATTTATACCTGATTGACGACTTAATCTTATAGTGACTGATAGAGTGCGCACGAATGAATTCCCGTGGTGTGGTAAGCATAGCGTACCTACATTTTTTAGGGTACTTAAGTGTGTCGCCCGGTAAATGGTGGAAAACAATAATACACATGAACATTGTGTCTGCGCTTACTGTTTCAGCGGCAATTTGTTGTGGAACTAATGTCCAAGGTCGGAATATCTGAAAAACAATGAGCAGACGTCTCATGTTAGTCGCTGGTGTATTTGAGTCTTCCACCCTAAATACAAATTTGTGAGTCACTGAAACATGTGATAGACTTTGGACTGACTTTGGATTGACTTTAAACAAAACTAAGATAATTTAACAAACCGACACAGTACAAATTATCACACAATATTATGAAACGTATGACGTTAGTTAAAACAACTTTGTGTTCGGGTGTGAAAAAATATTTCAATAATACTTTTTTAATGCATTTTATTAAAACATTAGGTATTGACAGAATGAGTTAAGAAATAGGTAGCCATGTTTCTTGAACTTAAATTTTACTTTAAAAAATAATGGGTGAAAGCTTGAAAGACCAGCAACTAAATGAAAGTCTCGAACAGACAGGGGTGATTTTAGTGCCGATGCATAAATTTTTGAAACTGAAAACGTGTGAATAAACAATCGTATATTAGTGACCATGTGGAATATTTAAGTAAAACATAGTTTATTACGAAGCAAAAACACATTTCTTATGTTGAAATCTCGCAAAATTATTTCGGTAGTAGTCGAAAGCTTCAATGCACACCTTAAATTTAAAACAAAGCAGCATAGAATTTAGTTAAAAAACCACCACTCAAAAATCAAACTAACTACTAGGAAACCATTAAGCGAGGTTATCATTCGGCACAAATATGAAATGTATCCGTAAACGAACTACCGATGCATTTCATGTACAAATGTTTTGAAGCGAAAAATCATAAGATCGTGGGAGAACGATGTGGTTCCAGTCAAGACACCTAGAAAAGAACTGCCCTAGTTGCCAACCATATTCTATATCACCCTAGAGCGCTGAACTGGAACATAGGAGCGCTTTTAATCAATTATAATTGCAAAAAATTAATATTCATTTACGATCTAGAGCTCATACGTTCCGTCCATTGTAAGCGCACATGACACTAATTTGTCTGTGCAGTGTTACGCGACTAAACTATCGGGCGAGTGCTCTATTGAAACTTTGGCTAAAACTATTTCCACAGACAAAGATGGATATAGACGACGCAAGCACCTCAATTAGCTAAGCATGTTATATTTTTTCTACACTAATTTGATATTACAAGAGCTATTTATTAACAGCTATCTCCTTTCTACATAAAATTTTCTTGCATTTCAATAATACTATATTTAAAACTATTTTTGACTCCCGACTAATTCTTTTCGATACATAAATGTATAAACATTTTCAAGTCGTATTCAGTATGGATATAGATGGAGCAAAAAATAAACAAAAAGTAATGTAGTTGCGATATCTATCTGAATCCGTATCTGTGGCTATTTCTATAATATGACTAGTGCGCCGTAACATGAGCACAGATAAAGAAGCGAGTGCGCGAGATGAGTGCAGGAGGCCGTGGCGACCGTGGGGTGCGTGCGCAGGGCGTGGTGCTGCATGACGGCGTCGAAGGTGTGATGGTGTGGGGCGGTGGCGGGGGTGCCGGCGGCGGCGGCGGCGGGGGCGGGGGGGGTGCAGCGCGGCGCTCACGTCTTCCGCCCGCAGCGACGCCAGCCGCAGCGCCTCCGCCGACCCGGGCTCCGCGTGGAGCGCGCGCCGCAGGTCCAGCACCTATAACACCGCGTTCCCACCAAGGTACAATGCGATCAAATTAACAATACACTTTCCGCCATATTGTGACGTCATAGCTGTCAAAATAAGAAATTTTCTACTAATTTCTAAGACTTGTATTACGTAAAATAAAAAGTAATTTATGCAAAATATTTTTTTACAAGTAACAATCGAAAAGTTGAGGTCGCCAACGTTCCTATTCTTATTTTGATCGCATTGTATACAACATGTATTCTACATGTCCAGAACTACCAACTCGTTTACACCAAGACACGCAATGTTTATATGTGTTTAATATAGCGTTTTCCGTCTCGTTCAAATCATAAGTACATATACAAAATACAGTTTTTGATTGTGCACAAATATATTTAAATAAATCAATATAAATCAAAGTGAATAAAAAACATAATATGTACAAAATAAATTTTCTACTAATTGTAAACACAACATATGTATGTATATATGCATTGCAACTTGCATGTGAGTGGAAACGAGGGGTGACACCAGATCTGCTATCCCAAATCGAGTGACCGCTATCGAGTTAAGATGTGCTCGCGTAGCTATATGATATAATAAATCAATTAGATTGTCGGTTCCACATTACATGTCGTTTTATTATATCCAATCGCGGTACGAATATACACGTGTCTAAAAATCTCGGACAGTAGAACCAGCAAACTGTACTTTGCAAACACATAATTTATGCACAAATAAAAATAATTAATAATTTATTTTGCATATTTATTTATGCATATCTATTTACACTATTTATAATAATATATAATATTCTGAATACTTATTATTATCACACTCAAAAAAATACACACACACACAAATGTCAAAAACATTATAATTTAAAACATGACTTACCTTGTGAAATAGTAGTGGCACTCCAGGTTGAGAAAATTATTCACCGCAAGAAAATATTTCTAAAGAGCAAGTAAAAGCCGGGGACATTGACTTTGTATTGTTTGGTCATGTCACTTAGTGCAAGGCAAAATTCGTAAAAACGTCAAGTGCGAAGATAGTTATTCAATAATTCAAATATGTGAAAATATTTAAATATCCACTTGACCAACGCAATAATCTTTATAGTAAAAAAATACCATCCGTAATAACCTTTCAGTACAGATCATGAGAATTTCAGACGGTTTTTGTAACGGATTGATCAAGTGGAAACTGAACTTATCAATAGTGCATTTTCTTTCATCACAAAATTATTAGGCCGTGAAACAAGTACCTTCCTAGCTGCATTGGCCTTGAGCTCCTGTGGTGAGGCAGCCATATTTGAAAAAGGCACGTCCACATTGAACTTTATTGAGTGTAACAGCTGTACCACGACGTTGGAGACATTTTTAAAGGAGAGCTTGCGACGAGACCCCGAGCCGAGACCGACGCTTGATGATAGACACATCTGAAACAAGAACATTAATGTGAGTAAATAATGTCCTCTACCCAAAGGTTGTCTGGAAGAGATTGCTTAGCGATAAGGTCGCCTTATGTATTTATGTATCACTTCTAATTAATATTTACTGTATTTATTATTTTTTTACTTGGTGCAAGAAAGTATAAATAAATAAATATAGGACTGTGTTCCACAAAAAACGACTTGAATTGTGGCAAAACCAGTTATTTTGATATAAAAACTAAACTACTGCACCGAATTAAGAACCTCCTTCCTTTTGAAATCAGTTTTAAATACGAGTATAGTTTCATATATATTTCTTATACCACTGCCGTGATAAAATACTGTCTATATAGCCCTTGATGGTAAGCAACCAACAAAAGGCTTGACATATTTGTCACCTCTTTTTCACACCTTTTTTGAAGCTCTTCACGCTGTAGTCTCTTAGCAAAATATCAACAGACTTAAAAGCCTAACTTTACTATTTCTTTATAAAAAAAAATATGTTATGGTTAAATGTGTTGTGTATATTACTGTCATTCTTATTTTATTCATCTCAAAATAACGTGACGTATCGCGTGTAGCCTGCAAAATCTAAATTACTACAGCTAGGACAACACTGAACACGTAAAAACCTAAGGTTTCATAAGCTTATATCATGGTCGAGGCATACATCTTAATAGAATGAAAATACAATGTCAATGTATTTACCAGAGGGAGACTTTGTACAAAAGTCGATTGCTTGGGTACCTCTATCCCATTCGTGTTCCAACCGTGAAGCAGTTGTGTTTGCATGGCTGTGTTTCGGTTTGAAGGGTGGGATATGGCGTGAATTTACTGGGTACAGAGGAATAACACCTGAGTCCTCAGGAATGGCAACGCATAACGCATGGGGGGTATCATGGGCGAAACAGTATACTCTGTTATGTCCATGGTACTGCTCATGTCTATAGGCGACGGTTATCACTTTCCATCAGGTGGGCCGTCAGCTTGTTTTCCATTCTAAGTTGTATAAAAAACAATGTATACATAGAGAAGAGTAATTTTACAAGTACAAAGCCTATATGAACTTACTTTTCTCCGTCTAGGTGGGGGAATAATGAAGTATGTTTGCACCGAATGATCCCTAAGGTACGCGTTGCGACTGGCTCCATGACCCGGCTCCACCTCGTACGCACCACCGAGACACTCCAACGTTGCTTGCGTAATGTGCACTCGTCTGAAAATACATTAGTACAATATTGTTATAAAAATGCTATTATATTATTATTTTTTATTTTTTCAGCTATTAACTGCTGAACATAAGCCTTCCCCATAAGGAGAGTTTTGCCAGTAGTTGCCACGTTTGGCAGGGGGGTTGGTAACCGCAGTTGGTTTTTAAAGATGTTTTAAGAGGGACGCTGCTGCCCATCCCTCGCCCTCCCTTAATCGTCTCTTACGACACCCACGGGAAAAGAAGTGGTGGCCCATTTTATGCCGCGACACACACGGCGACTATATAAATAATATAATTCTAATAGATATAAGATAGAATAATAGAATAGAATTTTCTATTAAGTATTATTTTTATAGAATTTTGAAAATTTTGGTTAGTTGCTTTAATAACCAACATGGTGAGTAGTGGCGTATTCGTGGCGTACAGAATACCATCCGTGGAAGCATACTAATACATGCATATCCGTTACATGTGACGTGAATTACGTCCTAAATTAGTCAATTTGACTAAGTTTTAAGTTGTATGGGTGTAATATACGTACATAAGATAATGTAGGGATATACTCGTGATATATGACCTATTAATAAACAACATGAACTAAAATTACGTAACTGGTAATATCTCTACAACGCCAGGTAATACTCTTTGAATCTCAAATTACATTAAACTAGCTTTTTACCCGCTATCTCGTAAGCGTGGATTGTATTTATTTATTAAACTTTAATATACCTAGAAAGTGTAAATGGCGGACATAATACCATATGGCGTTATCTACCTGTCGATAGCAGACAGAGAATAACAGAATATATAATTTTAGACGTAAGAAAATCAATTAATGTAATACTTGAAGATGGCATTTGAAAATAAAAATCATGCTATATTTTAACACAGACTTACAGGAATACACGGCTGTGAAGACTGCGTCTATTGTGATGCAGTAGTTTTTGCGTGATACCAAAACAAACAGACAGACAAGATTTCTAAAAATTAATGTTTCGACTTCTATTAGTCTTAATAAGACCGCTTATATTATTTTTTCTTAAATATCTTCCATGTACAGATATCGTCTAGTTACTATTTAGGAGGTAAGAGATTTAGAGCTAAGAAATTTTGTGAAATTACAAAGGAATTATAATACCTCAAAAGTGACAATACAGATATACTCGTACAACAGGCGAGCTTATCTCTTACAGTGGTTACGTCTTAGGGCAAAATAATATGTAACAATGTAGTCTTTGTGAGCAATAAAGTATAAATAAATGAGGAATACCATAAGTATTCTGTGATGTTCATAATTCTGTTCATGATACTCTTTACATCCAGTGGGACGTCCACTTGTTTGCCATTACAAAGTGTATAAAAAAATGTAATATATCCAAATCCTAACATCGTTCATCCACTTTTTACAGTGAATAAGCGTACATGTAGACACATGTAAGACTTATGTCTCGCGGTAAATGTTATTTTCTGTCGAAGATTTCTGTGCTCACCCCGGTTCTCCGCCAGCCTCCATGTTATTTGCAAGCGTGACGTCATTCGACCACACGTCGTACTGCCATTTGCGGAGGCCGAGTACACCGCACAACACTCGTCCGGTGTGAATTCCCACACGCATGTTCAGTTGTACATCTGTAGCTTCCACCACGGACCTGTAACAAAATACATACGATTGTAATAACAAATTATGTATTCAAAAGTATTTTACCATAATTTATATATCTGTGAAATTTCATTTAAATCGTTTTAGGAATTTTTACTTAATACCTCGTTAAAGGGCAAATAAAAAAAAATTCTCTGCAAGAAGCACATAAAACGCAGTAGTCATGTATGTACTCAAAGAAGAGATCTTTTAGTATAGATGTAAAATATGTATATTTCGATAATACATACCTAATAATGAGCACTTAAATGATTTGATAGATAACTTATTCATACAATATTGCACCAAAATAAAATTGAAATAAAAAAGACATTAAACTACAAAAAACTAATGAAAAAATTTAAAATTACATATTGTGTTTATACGATTTTTCATAGAAGATTACATCTAGATGTACAATATAATTTTTTTTCCTTATATAGATATCTCAACAACCATTTAGAATACACAAGTGAATGTATTTTCGGGAAAATGAGGGCTTTATCTGTAAGGTAACATTTTCATGCGACCTTATGATGAAGAATCCGTATAATAAACGTGATAGTAAGTTTGTTTATTTGTTTGTATAATTTATAGCGCCTTAATGATATGCCGTTAAGGTTAGTTATGACCTATCATTATAAAATTTAGTTTACACGTACTCTATGAAATGAAGAAGTATATATTGGTAAAATAATTTTTATCCCAGTCACATGGACGAAGTCACGGGTAAAAGCTAGTACAAAACAAAGTAGTAAAATAGATTTGATAACCACCATAATATTCTTATTTAGAATAATTTAGTAAGTAAATAATGATGGTTAACAAACTAGGACTTTTATACAATACGAAAGATTGTAAGAATTTCTCGGTAGAAGGCTGACCCTGAGGCAAGTTGAATAACTCAATTGTGATGTCGTAATGATAAAAAAATATGTATTAAAGAGAAGCACGTGTAAGTATAACTTTATTTCGATAAGGTCTATAATAAAACCGCCAAGACATTTGTCATTAGTTATACAAAGAGAGGAATTCAATTTCGCTAACAATAATGGATAGAAAATATGATGTTTTGCTGTGGAGACATAAAAATGTTGTACCTTTATTTAAGTGAAGTTATTTCTTTGTTGTTAAACAAATTACTTTCAAAGCTTACTGGCTGAGACTCAGCGATAATATTTATTTATACAAGAAATATATTTGTACAAGAAATTATACAAGCAAACATAAAGTATGAACTTACTACAGAACCGCAATAATGGATGTAAGTAAATAAATGGCTAATGAATAATGGCGTCTATAAAAACTATATTTTTTCCACGGGAATTCTGTAAATATTTAAGCGGTAAATATATATCAACATTCACTGAAGATTAATGTAAACAGAATTTTGTAACATTAAAAATGTTTTTTTTAAACAGAGAAATGTGAAATAAATCAATTGAATGTAATGGAAATAAGCTACGCTAATAGCTTTTCTTATAGTATCATTTATTTATTTGAGATATAAATCAAGGCATTAGAAAACAAGCCGCCGTCCATCCTAGACGGCGCAGACAGTCAGGTTATTGGGTACTTGGCAACAAAACAGAATATTTCTTATACCCATTTAATTTATAGTGTATTAATCACAAAACTATGTTGATTTAAAATTTGTCTGCACCAACATCGCACAACAATTGGCATGCGTACTTACTACTATTATAATGGAGTACAAAATTTACTACTACCTCTTCGTAAATACGAGTAAAAACTGCGTAACATAAGTCTCTTATGTTACAGAATTTATATTAAATATTGATAACAAAAAATGTATTCTCAAGCAGAGCTAGACGCATTTCTGTTAAAACATATGATCGCCAACACTACAGTGCACGGAAGTGTAAGACAATTACGAATATGATATAAAGTTTACATATAATTAAAAAATACACAAGATCTTGGCACTCGATTTTCTCAGTCTATTTCTTAAGAAGCTTGACGTGAAGATAGATCAAAATTTACAATAATACATTAAATAATACATGTATTTTCCCCCCTTAGCCCTTTAACTTATAAAACTTGTTTTCCTTATAAAAATTTATAGTAAACTTTATGTATTATGACGTTACTGTATTTTTTATGCAAATAGAAATCACAGGAAAGGTGACAATCCACCTGATGGACAGTGGTAACTGTCGCCTATAGACGTGGACAGCAGCCAGCCAGAAAGCTGAAGATTTTTTCTACAAACAGCAATGATTCATAATTGTAATGCCAGATGGATTTTGATTTATTTAGAAATTATAAACCACTATACTTTTTACAATAACATAAGTAATAATAATAAAATAATGCATTAACGATACTAAAATCACAAAAAAAAAAACATTAGAAATTCATCAACAGAATGGCACCATAACGGTTATCTAATCTACACTAATATTATAAAAAGAAAAGATTTGATTGTTTGTAACTGTAAAACTCAAAAACAAGCGATTTTAAAAATATTTTACCTATAGAAACCTACATTATCAACAAGTAACATAGGCTACAAATTATTTTAGAAAATTTTACTGTAACTCCCCGAGAGAAGCCGGGCCAAATCGCTAGAATCTAATATAGTATGAGATCTTTGTTTAGAATTACATGGCACTATGTGTATGTCCTAGGATTATTTATTTATTACGAGTAGCTATTCATAGCGTAACTTGATGAAACTTTAGTTTGTTAATGTAAGTTTGGATCCAAATGCTTCTGACAAAGTAACTAATATAAATGCAGTAATATACAAACACTACACGACATAACTAAGTTACAACTTATGTTAATTAACAACATGTCTCTCAAGCAACCACAATGTTCAACATCAAGCTACTACATGCTGGTACTTTGTACACTCTTTGAACTTATTTGCTTGTGTTCAATTTATTAATTTATGTATATTTTATTGTACACACTAATAATACAGAAACAAATATGACAGTCGAAAGCAAATGTACAAAGGTGAGCTTAACACTACAAAAGTTCTCTTCCAACATACCCAAAAACCTAAATTTAGTTATTTAAACACCCTCATTGAGTATTGAGCATCTATTTTTTACAGCCAGGGATTCCGCGTGATTGAAATGTATTCAATGACTTGCCTAATTTAACCCTATCATTCTCCATCAGAAACGAAAATTGTATGCCAAAATCATGACGATTTAATGAGCTAAGCACCAACAAATAACAAACTTAGACTTATATTTATAAAATTAATAATTTCATGTATTATACTGCTGTCGGCAAATAATTTATAAATTATACTTAAAATGTTGGTGTTTTAATCTAACATATTTTCCATATGTCTGTTCCCATGCCGGATCCGTAATACTAAGTTTCTTCTCAGGAGTTCCTTTATCTAGTATAAATTGAAATCTTTGTACATTTCTATGAAGTATGTACGAGTATATATTTTCAAATTTCATGAAAATCGATCCAGTAGTTAAGGCGTTAAGAGGTAACAAATTCACTTTTATTTAAATTTATAATAGTTGTCAGGAAATTATTTGAGCTTGAAAGTATTTGAAGCAAATATGAAATGTACGAATATGAAACACCTATGTACCTTATGATTTTCTTTATACTATTATTAAAAATATAGCTAATGTATATTTACAATGCGTCCTGTATTGTGGTAATTACGTATCAAATATCTGGGTTTTATTTGCAATGTTCAACATAATTTATGAAGTTTTATTGACAGTACGAAACATATATATTGAAGAATAAAGAATAAAGGATTTTGTTAAGGATTAGTTAAATAGCCAATCCAAGGTTAAAAATGTTTACAGTTTGCAGAATGTTTTTGTTTTAAGAACTCCCTCGCGTTTCAAATTTGCCAAACAAGCGTCCATTAATAAATTCATCAACCACGGTGATGCTTCACAACCCTGTTTGATTCCCCTTGAGACTTCAAAACAATCCGCTTAGCCCTGCTCTTAAGGACAAATGTTAATATTATCACAACAGATTTATTATTTAAAAGGTTCACCATTAGATACATACATTAAGTTTACGTAAATTTCTCATTAATGAACACAATATTCTTTATTATATAGATATAACACATCCCGGATTCGATTTTCGGTCGGAAAATAAACCCCGACCCGAGTCATGGTCTGAGTATTCCAGATTATACCCAAGGGATGTTCGTTGTCTGGTCTCATAAGACAGGGTATCCTAACATGAGGATCAAGGGAAAGGATTGTTAATAGAGGGGTCTAACAGCCCCACTGCTAGCAATATACCCTATTAGGTCGACCTCCACGCGGTTCCCCATGGGAACAATCGTGGTTAATATGATTTTATTATATAAATTTATACAGATAGATATTTTAACATATATTTATATTGTGTATATTATAAAAATAAACAAGAATGAAAATAAATACATAAACAGCTAGCTTGTCACAAAGTAGATATTACCTACTTAAATATATTGTTTTATAACAAAGAAAAAAAAAGAGTTTCTATCTGTAACTAAATAAATAATTTTACTTCCATTTTTATTAGCTTTTTTAAGTCGATGCTTTTTTTTATAATACAGGGGGCAAACGAGCATGCGGCTCACCTTGATGGTAAGTAAGTACCGCCGCCCATGATCACTCATAACACTAAAGGCATTGCAGGTGTGCTGCCGGCCTTTCCAAAAGGAATATGCTCTTTTATTGAAGGTTATGATATCATATCGATTCGGAAATACCGTTGCTGGAAGTTGATTCTAAGGAGTGGTTGTGCGTGGAAGAAAGTGCCTTGAAAAACGCACAATGGAAGACTGCCACTCATCCAGATGGTTGGGATGAAACTTTAATTTATGACGGGTTGTACGGTGGTGCAAATCAGCCGCAGGTATCAATCCGAACAATTCTTCAGAACACTCCCCATGATAAATTAGGTAGAAGATGCACAGAGATGCAACATCTCTGCGCAGTTTCAGTGGGTCAAGTCGGACAGCAAGGCGTTGACTATCAATAATTCGAGCTGCCC